GCTGCAGGGTCAAGTCTGGGTTTTTTAATTAATGGAGTTACCACTGCATGTTTTAAAACATTGGGGACCACACCTGTAGCCAAACTGCTGTTAATAATGGCAAGAACAGAGGGTCCAGTTGACGGTAGAACCTGTTTAACCTGTTTTCATGTGACCAACGACCTCAATTAAAAATGAGTGTGAGATGGGGTCAAAGTGACTGAAGACTGCTGAGCAGAGGACAAGAACTGAAGGGTCGGCTGTGGAGTGTGGAATTGATGACCTAATCGACTCAACCTTTTCAACAAAATGCCTGACAAACTTATTACAGGTGTCAGAGGCCTCAATGGTGGCAGACTGAGGCACGTTTAGAATGGTGTTAATGGTGTTGAAAAGAACGCGGGGGTTGTAACTGTTTGAGTTGATAATTTTTGAGAAATATTTGTTTTTCTCCTGTTTAACGGTGGTCTGATAGGCTTTCCAACATGTTTTTAACATCTCAAAAGACACCTGAAGTTTATCTTTTTTCCATCGATGTTCAGCTCTTCTGCACAAGCGTCTTGCCCCTCGTGTAGTCTCATTAACCCAAGGGTGGGGCGTGCGTTTTCGATTCCTGAGCTTTAACAGGGCGACTGAGTCCAGGATCTGTACACCCGCCTCCTGATGCTGAGAAAGCAACTCCTTTGTAGTAAGACCCGCAGAGAGTTCAGAGTCTGAAACAGAATTACCAGCAAAGATGGAAGAGAAGAGTGTGGCGGTGGAAGGGTTAAAAATCCTACAGGGCTTAGGTGTGGGGGGAGGTGCAGGTTCACAAATCAATGAGGTGTTGAATAAAACCGGTTTGTGGTCGGAACAAACAGTGTCTCCAATTTCTAAATCAGAAACAGACAAACCATATGTTAAAACTAAGTCTAGAGTGTGGCCCTGCTGGTGAGTCGGACCAACAACACTCTGAACAAAGTTAAAGGACTGGATGAGGTCTAGAAAGTCCTGAGCTAATGGTTTATCTGGGCAGCACACGTGGATATTAAAGTCACCTAAAATCGAAACCCGATCATATTGGAACAGAACACCAGTTAGAAAGTCAGATAGTTATCTAAATCAATAGGAGTCATGGCTTCAAGAACCACCACGTACAGACATATGCAAGACATGGGTTTCAGCTGTCGCATTCCTTGTGCCAAGCCACTCTTGAACAAGAGACATCATCAGAAGCATCTCGCCTGAGACTGGTTCTGAGTGGTCCAAAATTATGTTCTCTAATGAAAGTAAATTTTGCATTTCCTTTGGAAATAAAGATCCCAGAGTCTGGAGGAAGAGAGAAGAGGCACAGAATCCACGTTGCTTGAGGTCCATTGTCAAGTTTCCACAGTCAGTGATGGTTTGGACGGCCATGTCATCTGCTGGTGTTGGTCCACTGTGTTTTCTGAGGTCCAAGGCCAACATAGCCGTCTACCAGGAAGCTTTAGAGCACTTCATGCTTCCTGCTGCTGACCAACTTTATGGAGATGCATATTTCATTTTCCAGCAGGACTTGGCACCTGCACACAGTGTCAAAGCTACCAGTACCTGGTTTAAGGACCATGGTATCCCTGTTCTTAATTGGCCAGCAAACTCGCCTGACCTTAACCCCATAGAAAATCTATGGGGTATTGTGAAGAGGAAGATGCGATACACCAGAGCCAACAATTCAGAAGAGCTGAAGGCCACTATCAGAGCAACCTGGGCTCTCATGACACCTGAGCAGTGCCACAGACTGATCGACTCCATGCCATGCCGCATTGCTACAGTAATCCAGGCAAAAGGAGCCCCAACTAAGTAATGAGTGCTGAACATGCTCATACTTTACATATTCATACTTTTCATTTGGCCAACATTTCTAAAAATCTTTTTTTTTTAATTGGTCTTAAATAATATTTTAATTTTCTGAGATACTGAATTTTGGGTTTTCAGTAGTTGTCAGTTATAATCATCAACATTAAAAGAAATAAACATTTGAAATACAAACTGGATTCCAAAAAAGTTGGGGCACTAAAATTGTGAATAAAAACTGAATGCAATGATGTGGAGGTGCCAACATCTAATATTTTATTCAGAATAGAACACAAATCACAGATCAAAAGTTTAAAGTGAGAGAATGTATCGTTCTAAGGGAAAAATCTGTTGTTTCCAAATTTCATGGCGTCAACAAATCCCAAAAAAGTTGGGACAAGTCCATTTTTACCACTGTGTGGCATCCCCCCTTCTTCTTACAACACTCAAACAGACGTCTGGGGACAGAGGAGACCAGTTTCTCAAGTTTAGAAATAGGAATGCTCTCCCATTCATGTCTAATACAGGCCTCTAACTGTTCAATTTTCTTAGGCCTTCTTTGTCGCACCTTCCTCTTTATGATGTGCCAAATGTTCTCTAGGTGAAAGATCTGGACTGCAGGCTGGCCATTTCAGTACCTGGATCCTTCTGCTACGTAGCCATGATGTTGTGATTGCTGCAGAATGTGGTCTGGCATTATCGTGTTGAAAAATGCAGGGTCTTCCCTGAAAGAGATGACGTCTAGATGGGAGCATATGTTGTTCTAGAACCTGAACATAGTTCTCTGCATTAATGGTGCCTTTCCAGACATGCAAGCTGCCCATGCCACAAGTGCTCATGCAACCCCATACCATCAGTGATGCAGGCTTCTGAACGGATCGTTGTAACAACTTGGGCTATCCTTGTCCTCTCTGGTCCGGATGACATGGCGTCCCAGTGTTCCATAAAGAACTTCAAATCGTGACTCATCTGACCACAGAACAGTCTTCTATTTTGCCACACTCCATTTTAAATGACCCTTGGCCCAGTGCAAACGTCTGAGCTTGTGGAACTTGCTTAGAAATGGCTTTCTCTTTGCACTGTAGAGTTTCAGCTGGAAACGGCGGATGGCACGGTGGATTGTGCTCACTGACGATGCTTTCTGGAAGTATTCCTGAGCCCATTCTGTTATTTCCTTGACAGTGGCATTCCTGTTTGAGGTGCAGTGACGTTTAAGGGCCCGGAGATCACGAGCATCCGGTAGAGTTTTACGGCCTTGACCCTTACGCACAGCGATTCTTCCAGATTCTCTGAATCTTTTGATGATGTTATGCACGGTTGATGATGAAAACTTATAAGTCTTTGCTATTTTACGTTGGGTAACACCATTCTGGTATTGTTGCACTATCTTTCTGCGCAACAATGGTGGAATTGGTGATCCTCTTACCATCTTGGCTCCTGAGAGACACTGACACTCTGAGAAGCTCTTTTTATACCCAATCATGTTGTAAATTGACCTAATTAGTGTCAGTTGGTCTTCCAGCTGTTCGTTATATGCTCAATTTCCTTTTGCCAGCCACTTATTGCTACTTGTCCCAACTTTTTGTGGATTTGTTGACACTGAAATTTTGAATCAACATATTTTTCCTTTAAAATGTTACTTTTACTCAGATTAAACTTTTGATCTGTCATCTATGTTATATTACGAATAAAATTGACATTTGCCATCTCCACATCATTGCATTCAGTTTTTATTCACAGTTTGTTTAGTGTCCCAACTTTTTTGGAATCCGGTTTGTATATCAGTCTGTGTGTAATGAATTAATATAATATACATGTTTCACTTTTTGAATTGAATTACTGAAATAAATCAACTTTTTTATGATATTCTAATTTTATGACCAACACCTGTATAGTGCTGTAAATATGTGTTCTTTCTTCAAAAGACCTTAAAGTTTTTACACAGCAGCTGTTTGTCTGAGCCAATATTTTCCCACTTTCTTCATGCAGCTGTCACTGTGCCCTGCCTACACACACCTCTGACTTGACTTGAGGAGCACACATTTAGAAAAACATGTAAACTTAGATGGTCTCTCTGTTAGCAACATATCTCTTAAACAACTTGTTGGATTTGGTTGAAACTCACAAAGTAATCATCAGATGTATCTCTAGAAATGGTTAACATTTTGACCCATTTTGATTCAAGATGGCTGCCACAGCTACCTCAGCAAACACAAAATTGACTATAACTCAGTCGTTCTTTGAGATATTGAGATGAAATTTTGTATGGATATAGTTGAGAGCCAGTTTATACATTCCTAAGGAAATCAAATATCCAAGATGGCTGCCTTAGCTAAAAGGGGAAAAAAGTATGATAACAACTATTATAAATCTATTGAGTTTAAATTTGGTGTGGTGATAGCTTAGAACATTCCGCATCACATTCTGAAAATAAATCAAAAATCCAAGATGGCCACAATAGCTTGTAACAAAAACATACTATAACTTTGATTGTTTTTTTCCATATTGAGTTGAAATTTGTTATGGTGGTAGCTGAGAGCGATTCCCAATACTTATTTAGTATGGTCAAATCAAACATTTAAAATTGGCCGCCATGTGGCAGTCCCCATGAAAGTTTCTCCACAAACTTTCTAGTTAAATTTTAGTATTCTTAGAACTTGGTAAATATTCTATTGGTTTATTTATATCCTGATACGTAAAACTCTTAAATATCTATATTTAATATATTTAATTTATCATTTATAATATAAATATATAATAAGAGATTGTAATTTCTTTTCCCTCATGATTGTCTGGTATAAAGTGTCTGCTTTACATCCATTGTTGCGGCTGCTGCATCAGAGTCACAAACTGGAGGATCGTTTGTTACACAGTTCCAAAGCCCTCGGAAATTGTTGCGGGAAGAAGAAAGTTGCGCGAGCTGTTAAATATGAAAGACACCCCTTTACATATTCTATATTTATTATCTGTGAGACAGTATTTTCATATGGACTCCTTGTAATAAGGTCCAGCTCACCCTCTAACTACAGGAGTCAGTCATGATTGTAACAAGTTAAAACATTACTTTAAAGTAAACTGCATAGTTATTTTGCCTCTTTATTTGATACTTTTCCCCTTGAAAAATGCACATTTTTTACATTTAAACTGCAAAAAACTATTGTATGGTTAGGAATAATCAAAGTTAAGGCTGACAGATTTATCTCTTACAGGGTACAACATGATCCACTTCACTCCTCTGCAGACCTTAGGAGAGTCCAGGTCCTGTTACTCCTTAGCTGACCAGCTAACCTTCAGCCCTGAGTTCAGCCCAAAGGGCACTAGCTATACCTGGGAGGATGTGGGGGCCCTGGTTGAGAAACTAAGAACAGAATGGAATATGATGTCTATCACGGACGTGGTGTACAATCACACTGGTGAGTTTATATATTTCCCAGATACATATTAGAATGTAGAAACAAGTCATTTATAAAGCTTATATTACCATAATTGCCAGTCTATAGAGCACACCAGAATATAAGCCACTTGTACACACACACACACACACACACACACACACACACACACACACACACAGACACAGACAGACAGACAGACAGAAGCTGCACCTGTGTTTGTAACATAAGTGACAGCACACGGCTACTGGACTTCACACTGACCTTCAACACCATGATTCCCCAGACCCTGATGGACAAACTATTCACACTAGGACTAATTCCCTCCCTATGCAACTGGGTCCTGGATTTCTAAACCAAAAGGCCACAGTCTGTGAGGATCCACAACTTCTCCTCCTTTACCATAACCCTCGGCACTGGCTACCCCCAGGGCTGTGTGTTGAGCCCCCTCCTGTTCATTCTGCTCACGTATGACTGTGCACCTACCCATCCAGGCTGTCACATGGTAACGTTTGCAGACGATACAGTGATGGTGGGATGAATCACAAACAATGTGTCCATCTAGTCAAGTCGTTGATTTTATTTATGAGCACATTTAAAACAGAACCTGCTATCAAAGTGCTTAACAACAACAACAACAACAACAACAACAACAACAACAACAATGGGAGTAAAAGAGAAAAAAAATACAATACACTAATAATAATAACTGAAGAATTAATAAAAAGCATTTAAAACATAAGATCACAGAACATCCATCCATCCATTATCTTTACCCGTTTGTTCCATTTTGGGTCACGGGGGTCGCTGGTGCCCATGTCCAGCAATCACTTTGCGAGGGACGGGGTACACCCTGGACGGGTCGCAAGTCCATCGCAGGGCCACATAGAGACAAACAATCATTCACTCTCTCACTCACACCTAGAGACAATTTAGTTACCAATCAGCCTAACATGCATGTTTTTGGTCTGTGGGAGGAAACCGGAGTACCCGGAGAAAACCCACGCATGCACGGAGAGAACATGCAAACTCCACCCAGAAGGCCCCTGGACCGGGGTTTGAACCAGGGACCTGCTCGCTGAGAGGCAGCAGCTCTACCAGTTGCGCCACCGTGCTGCCCGATCACAGAACAAAAAACACTAAATCAATTTACACTGTGTGAAATGCCTGTGAGAACAGATGTGTTTTTAGCAGGAATTTGAAGTGAGGAAGAGAGGTGGCCTGCCTAATGTTGGGGAGCAGGTTGTTCCAGAGTTTGGGGCCCATGACTGAAAAAGCCCGATCTCCTCTGAGCTTCAGTCTTGTTTTAGGAACAGCCAAAAGCAGCTGATCAGATGATCTCAGGGCCCGAAGGGGAACGTATGGTTCCAGTAGCTCAGAGAGGTAAAGGGATGTGAGGCCATTTAAGCATTTGGAGGTCAACAGAAGAATTTTCAAGACTATCCTAGAATGAACAGGGAGCCAGTGAAGGGAGGACAGAACTGGTGTAATATGTTCAGACCTACGAGTTCCAGTTAAAAGCCGAGCATCAGCATTCTGGACGAGCTGAAGACGTGAGATGGAGGCCTGGCTGACCCGAGCAAAGAGTGCATTGCAATAGTCCAATCGGGTCGTGACAAAGGCATGGACTAGTTTCTCAAGGTCGGGTCTGGACAATACTGACTTGAGCTTAGCTACCTGTCTGAGTTGGAAGAAGCTTTTCTGCAGAACAGAGTTGATTTGTTTGTCAAACTTGAATCTACAGGCAGGAGGTGGAAAACCTGTAGAGCTGGTGCAGGAAGAACAACCTTCACATAAATGTGAAAATGAAGGAGATGGTCGTGAACTTCAGACGGAACAAACACACCTAAACACACACACACACACCCGAACATAGGAGGATCTGTGGTGGAAGTGGTCTCCAGCTACAAGTACTTGGGTGTGTACCTGAATGACAACCTCAGCTGTGGTAACAACACCACCAGCCTGATCAAGAAAGCTCATCAGAGACTATTTCCTCAGACATTTGAGGCGAGCTGGACTGGGAAGCTCAGTCCTCACCTCCTTCTACAGGTCTGCAGTGGAGAGCATCCTGTGCTCCAGCATCAACGTGTGGCATGGAGGCTTCACAGCTGCAGAAAGAAAAGCTTTGCAGAGAGTGGTGAAGGCTGCACAGAAGAGTGTTGGAGTCAGTCTCCCCACCATCACAGACATCTACACCTCCAGATGCAGGAAGAGGGTCACCTGCATCATGAAGGCCCCCACTCACCCAACACACAGTTTTTTGCCCCGCTCCCCTTTGGCAGGAGGTTGAGGAGCATTAAGTGCAGAACCACTAGACTGAGGAACAGCTTCTACCCTGAAGCTGTTAGACTCATGAATCCAGAAAAATCACTGTAATACCACTTAAATTGGGACTGTCACTTCATCTGTGCTGCTGATTATCCATGCTGCTGATTTCTTGCCTTTAAGCTGCTATATTCATAACCATCTGCTCACAACAGACTCATGTTCAGGCTGCTGTTTAATACATCATATTATATCCTGCTCCAGATCTTTAGCAACACATCACACCCCATGCATGCCACACTGGACTCTTACTGAAGCACCTTCAGTCGTAGACTGAGGTTGTTTTCACACCTGATAGTCCGGTAGACTCGGTTTGGTTGGGGACCAATATTCATAACATTTTGTTTACATTTGAGTTGGTGCGTTTCCATTCACACTGCACTGTGCAGTCGAGCCAATTTGTTCGAACCAACCTGATTCCCCACTCACCTGTGGTGGCGCTGCACCAAGAACTACTGAAAGAAACGACACAAAAACCTCTGAAGACACTTCTTCTTCTTCTGGAAATAAAAACAAAAACGGAGTGGCATCAAGTTTTAACAGTTTTAGGAGTTATATTTTGTCATTTTTCAAAAATGGACTCGGCATGAGCGGAAGATGAGTCAGAAGCCCATGGAGAATGTTGTTCTATTTCATATAGGCTTCGCCCTTTAAGGCTGTCGATGATGGGTTTTATCCCGATATGCGAAGCATTGCACTGAAAAATTTAGTCCACGTCCACCTGCTGTGTGGGCCCCACCCGGTCCGTATAAATTACGTTAAGAGCAGGTAATCGGCTCCCATTTTTCTTCAGCGAGCTAATAGCACTGTCAGAAGAACAAAGAAGGAAAGTTGTGTAGATGACCAACCTTTGTTAAGAATGCTTGGCCCGTCACGTCGACCTCCGGTCGTCCTGGTGAACTCTCCTCCCCGTGGAGAAGCTGACGAGCAGTCTTGTTTTAAGGTAAGCGCCGAGGAGTATTTCTCAGTGACAGGCCGCTACACGCTAGACAACGCCATCTTGTAATTTTCTTCTTATCACCGACCCTCGGAGCGAATCAAAAGGTTTCTCCAGGACAGGCAGCGTTCAGCTGCAGTCCCGCTTCAGGCCCGCTGCTCATTCCCTCCTGGAGAGCATAGTGTCAGTGGAGGGGGGCTGAGCGAATGCTCACCTCATCCCACCTTGTTTCGCATCGGCGATCACACCGCTCCCGGCCGACGGCGCCCTCTGGGGTTGCCCGGTGTAACCCAGGAGGCTGCTGACATTAAGGGACCCTTTTTTACGTCCTGCGCCTTTCCCGCCAGTTCGGATGATCCGCCGGGAAAGTTTTTTCTAGGCTCCATTCCGGCTCGCCGTCCTGATCCCATCTGGCCTCGGTTTCCCAACAGGACGTCTTACGGGGACAAGGCCACAGCCGGCTTTCCTGGTAGATAGGGGGGCCGGTCTCCACAGTCCGCACCCATCACCAGAGCAGGGGTTTCACCGAGCGGAAATTCCCTCAGTGCTCCCTGGAGCCAAGCCTGACGGAGGCTTTCTTGGAGCAAGATGCCCAGGTGGACCAGTGTCCCGCACCTCCGGTTAGCGTAACCCAGACGGTGACACCGCTCTCCAACTGAGCTCACCAGCATGCATTCCAGACGGCCACAACGAACAACACGTTACGCTGTTGGCGTACACGTTCAGAGGCGGGAAGAGACGTACACTCCGTCTGCAAGGCAGCTGACTTCATCCCCAACCGGTGCGCCTCTTTGCTGTCTGCCGGCCCGCATCGCAGCCGGAGGACGGAGTTTTCAGCGTTTCCCTAAGACCGCCAACAGATGGCGCTCTAGGACAACAAATGGCAGAGCAAATGACGGTTTTGGCGGAGGATGTGTGTGAAGGTGACACGAGTTTGGAGTAAAACATCATTTAATGATGAAAGTGTCTATTTTTAGCCAGTCTGTCAGCTCGGATGACTTGACATCGGCTCCCTCTCACATCCTCCACACGAAATGAGCCGGTGGCAAGACGTTCCACGGCCGTCTCGCTGAGCTTCACCGCAGCCCCGCCGTCATAGACCGGCCCTTTTCATCCCGGCAACAGAGTGTCCAACATTTTCCCAGAGATCCCCGGCAGACGGCGCCCTGGGCCAACAAATCCCAGAGCTCATGGGGGAAAAGATTCAAAATGACGGTCTGCGGAGGGTGTGTGTAAAGATGACACGAATGTTGAGTAAAACTTCATTCAATGATCAAGTGTCTGTGTTTAGCCAGTCTGTAAGCTTGCGCACACATCCTCCACAAAAACGAGCTGGTGTCCTTAAATAAGGGTTTTCAAACTTACCGCTGCTCCAGACATGACGAGACGCTCACAGAACACAACAGTGGTAAGCGAAACAACTTGTAGTCAACCCGAGCTGCACGATCTTAACCCAAGCGGTGTCAAACGCGCACTCGCGCGACGCAAACAGCCTTCACCCAAACGGCGTTGTGTTGATGATGGTGCACACACAGCTCCCTGGTGCTCACCGGCTCATAGCGGCATAAATATGGGACCGCAGGTCGGGTCGATGGAGCACCTTGCTCTCAGCGAGAGCAACACGCGTGGCACCGAAGCAAACTCATGCTGCCGCGGCGGGGGCAGTCTTCACTCACCACTCCTCAGCGCTCGGCCGCTCACGTCAGCATTAACGTGAGACAGCTGAGCGAACCCAGTGACCAATCTCGCCCCAGCG